TGTAGTACACAGTAGTACTGGGAAGTGCTTTGTGCAAGCTTTGTAGTACAAAGTAGTACTGGGAAGTGCTTTGTGCAAGCTTTGTAGTACAAAGTAGTACTGGGAAGTGCTTTGTGCGAGCTTTGTAGTACACAGTAGTACTGGAACGTGTTTGTGCGAGTTTTGTAGTACACAGTAGTAACTGGGAAGAGCTTTGTGCAAGCTTTGTAGTACACAGTAGTACTGGGAAGTAGTTTGTGCGAGCTTTGTAGTCCACATTAGTACTGGAACGTGTTTGTGCGAGCTTTGTAGTACACAGTAGTAACTGGGAAGAGCTTTGTGCAAGTTTTGTAGTACACAGTAATACTGGGAAGTAGTTTGTGCGAGCTTTGTAGTACACATTAGTACTGGAACGACTTTGTGCAAGCTTTGTAGTACACAGTAGTACTGGGAAGTAGTTTGTGCGAGCTTTGTAGTACACAGTAGTACTGGGAAGTAGTTTGTGCGAGCTTTGTAGTACACATTAGTACTGGACCGTGTTTGTGCGAGCTTTGTAGTACACAGTAGTACTGGGCCGGTTTTTCCGTGCAAGCTTTGTAGTACACAGTAGTACTGGGAATGCTTCGGCAAGCTTTGTAGTACAAAGTTTGTATTGGGAGTAGTTGGTGGTGTCAAAAGCCTTGTAGTACACAGTAGTACTGGGAAGTGCTTTGTGCAAGCTGTGTAGTAGAAAGTACTGGGAAGTAGTTTGTGCAAGCTTTGCAGTACAAAGTAGTACTGGGAAGTGCTTTGTATAGTGTGGAGTGGGGAGTGTAGAGCGTGTAGAGTGTGGAATGTGTAGTGTAGATTGTAAAAAGTAAGATTGTAAAGTGTAGAGTGTGGAGTGTGGAGTGTATAGTATAGTGTAGAGTGTGGAGTGCAAAGTGTGGAGTGTAAAGTGTGGAGTGTGGAGTGTAAAGTATGGCGTGTGGAGTGTAAAGTGTGGAGTATGGAGTGAGAAGTGTGGTGTGTGTAGAGTGTAGAATGTGGTGGAGTGTGGCGTGTGGAGTGTTGAGTGTGGAGTGTAGTGTGTGGAGTGAGGAGTGTGGAGTGTAAAGTGTTGAGTGTGGAGTGAGGAGTGTAAAGTGTGGAGTGTAAACTGTAGAGTGTGGAGTGTGGAGTGGAAAGTGGCGAGTGTGGAGTGTAAAGTGCGGCGTGTGGAATGTAAAGTGTGGAGTGAGGAGTGTGGTGGGTGTAGAGTGTTGAGTGTGGTGGAGTGTGGAGTGTAGAGCGTAGAGCGTGGAGTGAGGAGTGAGGAGTGTAAAGTGTAAAGTGTGGAGCCTGGAGTATAAGTGTAGAGTGTGGAGTGCGGAGCGGAAAGTGTCGAGTGTGAAGTGTAGAGTGTCAAGTGTAGAGTGTAAAGTGTAGAGTGTAAAGTGTAGAGTGTAAAGTGTAGAGTGTGGAATGCGGAGTGTAAAGTGTAGTGTGCGGAGTGTGGAGTGTAAAGTGTGGAGTGTGGAGTGTGCAGTGGGTAAAGTGTGGAGTGTGGCAGGTGGTGGTGATCTCGTTGCACTTGTGATGTTGCTGTGCTGGTGATGCTGTTGTGTTGGTGATTTTGTTTTGATTTCATTGCGCTGGTGATATTGTTGTGCTGGTTGTGATTTCGTTGTGCTTGTGGTGATGTTGTTGTGATGGTTAGTTGTCTCTTCGTGAACCGCACGATGCATGCAAACAAAGGTTCGTTTTCCTATTACCGAGATTTGGAATCGTAGCCCAAGAACGTGATTACATTCGGGTTCGTGGCTTCCATCTTGTTTATTTTTCCATATACTGGGAATAATCATCCCAACTGACTTTCATATTTTTCAGACAGAACGGCCCCTCATGGGGGAGTGATTTTTGCTCTAAAAATGGTCAACAATACTGGTATTTACAGTGTTTTGTGACCAAAGTGGGCTTAAAACCGTTATTTTAGAGCAAAAAATAGAGTTCACCTCCAAAGGCTCTCATATGCTGTCATAAATCACTGGCATTTACAGACTCTTGTGGCAGGATTCAATTTTTCCTGTGAGGCTTGCAAAGAAGTACAAACAATCAGCACATAACAGAAAACATCTGCTGCACAACATGCCATAAGAATGGGTAGCTGCACATCTTGGAACAGAATATACAGTAGCAATAGGTGACTAGTGTGATGGAGGTGATGAAGAAATTCTATTGTTAAAAGCAATTGATATGATATAGGTGTTTCTTCATGAACTTGTTAGATTGATATCATCTTAACATATATTGTATATAGAAGCATTTGCGCTACATAAGAAGTATGGTGGGAAGGGCATACATTATATAGGTGGATATTAGGTGGATATAACACAAGCACACCTAACACTCTGGATAAGAAGGATGGTGGGAATGTTACAACCCAAGAAGTAGGTACATATCTCGTTTATCATTGTTATCTTGCAGAGTCTTGTCAGCAGTCTCATTTCAATAGTTAGACAGAGACAGAGAGAGAGAGAGAGAGAGAGAGAGAGAGAAAGCCAAAGAGACAAAGACGTGTGTCAAGCTGTTGAATATTAAGGTCAGGCAACCTGTGTGGTGGCATAGCTATTCAAAGATAACGGTATGTTTGCTTCTTTGAAACATAAGTTTAAAATATGGCCAAGATCCAAACATACACAATCTAGAATCACCAAAACCTGCACAGGCATCAAAAAAACAAACAAACCAATAGATGTACCAAACCTGCACAGGCACCAAAAAAAACAAAAAAAACAAACCACTAGATGCACCAAACCTGCACAGGCACCAAAAAAAACAAAAAAACTAAAATTTCCAGGAACTATGGGTCCACTTCTGAGTAGTTGCTGGATTTTTTTTTTTTTTGGTGCCTGTCGATGTTTGGTGCATCTAGTGGTTTGGTTTTTTTGGTGCCTGTCAATGTTTTTGTATATCTCATGTCAAGATCATGATGAAAAAAGTGTGTTTTACTAGGGTTTTAGACCCTCCAAATGCATAAAACATCGGTATTTACAGTGTTTCATCATCATTTTTAATGAAAATTCACTCCCCCACGGGGTGCCGCCCTCTTTTCAGAGGGGTGGCTCAACCACCAACCAGTTTACCATCAAAAATGAAAATTGAAACAATTGAAACATGATGATCGAACCACTGAACTGGTCCTTGTGAAGTTGATCCCTTTGAGGCAATGCCAACCTAGGTTGGCACCAAGGAAAGGAGAGAAAAGAGAAGACAAAGAAACCGGGAGGAATGAACCATAGAACAAAAAAGAGAACAGGTAAACACTATGGAAGGAAAGAAACAGATAAAAGATATAAAAGGGAACCAACATCTAAGAAAATCACAACGCATGGTACAAGAGTCAGAATGACTGAGATGAGCCTTGGGCCGATTTAGATCCAAAGAGTTCCCGACCGAAATCCCTGGATAGCCCCTTTAGTACACCGCATCTTTTTGGCACGATGCTCTATCATATTTAAAATATATATATATACAGATAGATAGATAGATAGATAGATTCATTAGATAGATAGATAGATAGATAGATAGATTCATTAGATAGATAGATAGATAGATAGATTAGATAGATAGATAGATAGATAGATTCATTAGATAGATAGATTCATTAGATAGATAGATAGATAGATTCATTAGATAGATAGATAGATAGATAGATAGATTCATTAGATAGATAGATTCATTAGATAGATAGATAGATAGATTCATTAGATAGATTCATTAGATAGATAGATAGATAGATAGATTCATTAGATAGATAGATAGATAGATAGATTCATTAGATAGATAGATAGATTAGATTAGATTAGATTAGATAGATAGATAGATTAGATTAGATTAGATTAGATAGATAGATAGATAGATTCATTAGATAGATAGATAGATAGATAGATTAGATTAGATTAGATTAGATTAGATAGATAGATAGATTCATTAGATAGATAGATTCATTAGATAGATAGATTCATTAGATAGATAGATTCATTAGATAGATAGATAGATAGATAGATAGATTCATTAGATAGATAGATAGATTAGATTAGATTAGATTAGATAGATAGATAGATAGATTAGATTAGATTAGATTAGATAGATAGATAGATAGATAGATTCATTAGATAGATAGATAGATAGATTAGATTAGATTAGATTAGATTAGATTAGATAGATAGATAGATGCACTATGGTTGAATGGTTAACCATGGTTTAATAGGTGTATATACCTGTAGATGGACTGATGGTTTGAGAAGTCACTATTTTTGGTGCTGAAAATTCTTCACTTTTGATCCCACATGTGCTGTTGAATCGAAGATAATCGAAGCAATTGATGGTACCATCGCTTTGATCTTTCAACCACTTTCGGTGAGGGTTTCATTCCCAGTGCTATGATGATTTTGACAGTAAAAGAATCTGAAATCATCCCCAATCATGGTGAAATACACTTTGATACCCAGCGAAATCCTTCCAAATATTCCAAAGTCCTCAGTTTTTTTTCCCTGTAACCTTTGTTTAAAAAAAATACGCTCCTCCCATGGCAGGATGTTGACGCCATCTTTCGCCTCACTCGTCCTTTACCCTGCAACTTCGCGGGCTTGGAACCGGGACACCCTTCCGCCATGGCCATTCCACCACAGTTTCTGACGGCAAAAAAGGGCGCAGGGGGGTTGGAGGCTGGAGCCTCAGAGATAGAAGTGGGTGAAGATCCTACTAAAATCATCTAAAATATACTGTAATATACTGTATAGTGACAGTGATAAGAAATTCATAGAAATTAGAATACGAATGAGATAAGTGATACGTTTTTTGATTTTTTATTGGGAATGCGTACTAACATAAAGTCGTTATAACATACTTTAACCGCAACCTATCAAAAGGTTGGATTTCATCATTGGGTTCAGCATCATAATTCCACCAAACAAGCGGATATCACCCAAAGACATGATGCTTCTGGGTGCATGATCGCACACCGGCCAACCCAAGCCCGTTTTTTTTGAGTATGTTACATGGATTGACATGGATTTACGGCACAATTTGCTCAGTTTTTTCGTGTCCTGAACTCCAAGGTGTCGAACTCTCAAATATTGAGCCTTTTGAACATGTCGTAACATCCTGGCGAAACTGCGAATGGGTAGTTCAACCATTTCCAGTTAATTTGTTCGATGAGTTTGTTTGCGGTTTAAACAACATGCTTGAAGATGTGTGACCTAGCACACATATGTTTGTACTGTTCGCGTCCAGAAACGAACATATATTTTTGGGATTCTTCATTATATATTTATATATATATATAAACTGTTTGCATTTTCTTTTGGCTCACATTGAAGTGTGTGAAACGCTGAGGTGAATGGTGAGTGTATTTGGGTCAAATTTGGCGATGGATTCACAACTGGTTTTCTATATAAGACTGGCCATGTTTTGACCATATGGTTAAATTAGAGGGATTGATTTGAAGTAACCTACCTGAAAACTCATCAACATAAACCTGCAAAAAATCGTTTGACACATGTTTCACTTTAAATACAACCCAATTGACCATCTATAAGCTTGTGAACATGGGAAATATTGACACTAGATGATCTAGATGGTATGTCCCAGACTCATGACAAATGACACGTGACGGTCACCATTCCACCACTTGGTACCAGAGTTTGTGGCTGTATTGGATGATTGTGGCATGGGCCAAATGTTTTTCCATCATCGAAAATACCCTCTGGTTATGTCAACAGTTTGCTATAGAAAATGGCCATTTATATTGGATTTACCGATGAAAAATGGTGATTTTCCATAGTTTTTTGTATGTTTACCAGAGGGTATATCGCCAACAAAAATGTAGTTTTGTCTCAAAATGGGGGGGACAATGACATCTCAAAGTTAAAGGATTTGTTGAGACAACCTTGATTTCTCATGACATCTCATGACTAAGAATGGGAAGGCAGTCATCTTTGACAACCAACAAAGAAAGAGGATGCAACTGCAAGTCACTAAGTCTCACTAAGTGCAAGTCTTCGACCACATGTCAACCAAGTGAATCACTCCCAATGGATGATAAATGCTGTAACATGTATCATGGACACCTCGGCTGTGGCTGTGAAGGTTTTTTACACCTTACAATGCGCAAGCCACAGTGCATTTGTATGACGCTTTGCTGCAGGTTTCAGACATGAACTTAAGGATAGGTCGTGATGGGTCGCATGTCGAAATATGTCGAAACGTGTTCTGAACAGTCGAAGATGATGGGGTGAAATTGAGGAACATAATGTCTGTTGATTTCCAAGTGGTTTTGTCCAAAAATCGTTTAAAGTTTATATATATATATATTATATTTATATCTGCAAATTGCGATGTGAATGGAACAAAAAATGATGACAACCCCAGGAAGGGAGAACATAGTGCTAGCAGCAATGGGTGTTTTTGTTTGCCCAGAATGGACGCATGAATGAACGCATTTCTTGCATCTCTTCGTTGGAGTTCTGATGTTCGTCATCAATCATTTGATGGATTGTAGCCATACACCTTTCTACATATTCGTTATAAGTCATGTCTGTTTGGGTGGTTTGAAACATTTTCTATTTTTCCATATGTTGGGAATTTTAATACTCCCAACTGACGAACTCATAATTTTCAGAGGGGTGGCCCAACCACCAACCAGTTATGGAATTACATGGAATTACCATATGATTGGGGAAGAATCATCCATGAACCAGCTGTTTTAGAGGGACTCATGGCCTACACATAACAGTTTTGATGGTTTTAACCACATAACTTACGTAAGACCCACTTGGTTTGTTGCACCTCCAGAGGATCATCAACAAAGCCACAATTTTTAGTAATTGGATGGGGACAATATACCCTCTGGTTATGTCAAAATAGCTATTGAAAATGACCATTTATAGTTGATTTACCCATGAAAAATTGTTATTTTCCATAGTTTTTTGTATGTTTACCAGAGGGTACAGGACCTATCCCGATATTTCATGGGAAAATGAATGGATTCCTCCAGATGTTCCATTGTTCCAATCCATTGAAGCAGGGTTTTGCCATGAAAATGAACAGAATCCGGGCCAGCCAGGAAGCCTTTTGGGGCTTGCTGCTGCCAGTGACTGTGCACGGCCGGGTGTCTGACATTTGGCGGGCATACTTGACGCAGAAGCTCCTTTGGGACGACGCTCGGCAATCCCCCTTGGGAGATCAGCGCACATCCCGGTTACTATGGTCACCATGTATCCCCAATGGCCAAGAAATGCCAATCACCATAGTCACCATAGAATCAAGAATTGGGATCAAATTTTGGTACCATTTTCGAATGTTTAATGATAATGCCCATGAAATTGGGCAAATCGGAATAAAACACGGCTCATTTGTCAATGTCTTTGGAATAAAGAAAGAGATTTCCAAAGCATAGAAATTTGGGGCGTTTCGTGTTGTGCCACACCAGGCTCCTTACCGCCTTAGGACGATTTACCACCATCTAATTCACCAAGCTAAGTCGGTTAAGCTACTGAAAAGTTGATCATTGTGAGCTATATCCTCCAGTAACAAAACCTGGTTGGTGGTTTGGAAATGTTTGGAACATTTTTATGTTTCCATACCTTGGGAATAATACTCGCAACTGACGAACTCATATTTTTCATAGAGGTAGGTCAACCACCAACCACAAACAATGTATATATCCATGATTTCAACTGAAAAATGATCCAAGATGTTGTGAATTTCCTACTCAGGTGGGTCAACTCGTGACTTTCTTACCACCTTATGTGGTGCATGACCGTGTGGCACACGACTACTTGAAAGACTTCCAAAGTGAAACTGACCTGCAGAAACTGGGACTTGTTGGGATGGTCGAATTGGTGACTTGGATGTTTCGGGTGGATTTTATGGTGACTTGTGTTTTTTTGTGGATGTTTCGTGATGCTTTTGTTCTTTCTTATTGTTGTTTTGCTGTTTTTTTTTGTTTTTTTTACTTTTGCGAATTTGGGGTGATTTTATTTGGGGACGTGTTTGATTTACGTCCCTTTATGATATATAGAACGGTTGGGTTGACATCCCCCACGTGATTTCTTCAAAAACATGTGGGAAGCAAGGCTTAAAAAATCAGGCTAGGCTCAAGTATCGCCTGAGTGACCTCCTATTCTCACATGGGCGGCACCAAACAACATGCGAGGTAGTTTAACCAATGACATAAACCATGATAACACAACTGCCCGGTTTTAGATATGTAAAGAACGGAAATGAAATTGGATCAATCTTTGATCTTGGATGGGGAAGAAGTGAAATTGCGGCTCGTCACTGGCTAAAATTTTAAGTGGGGTTTAGCTGTAATCAGAGGAGGCAATGGAAAAAACTTGTGTTTGATGAGAAGATATGACAAGAACCTCTTGTGGGTAGCCTTTTGCACTTCTCACACCATCGTTGTTGATTTGGTGGACGGTAGTAGCAGGAGATTGGTATACAGCAAGGTGTTTTAGATGTGAAAGACTCTGAAAGATCAACAAAACAGGATGGCCAGCACTAGTGGCATGCTGCTCAAAATGATACCCTCTTGTTATTTAACATAGCTATGAAAATGTTCCATTTATAGATGATTTTCCCATTAATACCTCCATTTATAAGGGATTTTCCATGGCTATGTTAAATAACCAGATGATGTGTGAAATGTTGTTAAAAATGTTAAAAACATGTTTTGCTTCGCATGAGTGAGGATTCCATGTTTGCCAGAACTATAGGCATCAAAAAAAAAAAGGTGCAGAATAAATTCCAGCTCTTCCGAAACCCCCAAGTTGCGGGCAATTATATACTCCACCTTATTTTTGCCCGATAAAAGCATGGGGCTGCATCATTGCCTTGAGAATTCTGGATGCTGAACATCCACCTTTGCCAAAGTCAGGTTGAAGTCTACAGCCTTGGTTCAATTCTTATCCCAATGGTCTAGCAATGCTCCAACTTTGTTGGAACGCATTGAACAGCTGTGGGCGGCCTTGTACGCGCGTGTCTGGGCTGGCGTGGAATGCCCGAGGGAAACGGACGAAACGGATAGGAAATCATGGGAAATTCCTTTGAGAAAATCATCATATGATGATATACAGATGATAAAATGTGACATATGCGGTAAAATTATGCAACTGGTGGGTGTGTCCGATTTTCCAACAGCAGGAAAATCATGGTTTCTAACTTTGCTTGAGGTTTTTCCATGTCCATGCCTTGAATGATTTGAAGGTGGATCATTGCAGAAATGATCCAATAATGACATTGATATCTTTACAGTCTATACACCTAGAAAGGCAGAAACGATTCAATCTTTCTCATTGTTTTAGGATTGGCTGTGACTGTTCTATCTTTTCTGGGGGTTGCTACCCACTAAGGTAATATACATACGTATGTACAGCGGTACCGCTAAGGGAACTATCCAGCTACCAAGTGGGGCGATCTGAAACAAATGAGGTGACCGTGACAGAAATCTCGTTTCGTTAAGTCGTATCTAGTGGTTTAGAGGAAACACCAAAATCCCTGAGGCTACCAGGTTTCTGTCGCACGTTCGAGCTAATCTTCGAATTTTTGCTGGAATGATCCTCTCGAATTCCCATTAATTCCCATTAAATCCCATCAATTTAAATCCCGGTATATAAATCCCATCAATTTAAATCCCATTATATAAATCCCATCAATTTAAATCCCATCAATTTAAATCCCATCAATTTAAATCCCATCAATTTAAATCCCATTATAAAAATCCCATCAATTTAAATCCCATTATATAAATCCCATTATATAAATCCCATCAATTTAAATCCCATTATATAAATCCCATCAATTTAAATCCCATCAATTTAAATCCCATCAATTTAAATCCCATTATATAAATCCCATTATATAAATCCCATTATAAATTAGCATCTCAAAGTCAGGGCCTCTCTGTGAGATCCAGCGAGGTGGATTCGTGGAGTTGGGAGATGTGAGGTTCGGTCCCGGATCGGCGGTCCCGGATCGTCGGTCCCGGATCGGTTGGGAAATGCCCACAGAATGGCTGGAGCTTTGAATCATTTTGAAGATACAGGATGGTGCCCCCCAGTGATGTGAATGTTGGTGTATAAACCCCATTATCTAGTTCGTTGTATCTACCATAATCCATACAATGTGAGGCCCCCCAGTGATGTTTGTTGGTTAACAAAAGCCCCAGTAACTAGTTCGTTATTTGCGTACCATAAACCATAGTCACATTGGAGTTATGTGCGCTAAATGAACGCTATCTACTGTAGGGGGCCTCACATTGTTTGAATGGCAACTCATCCGTCACACTAATTTTGTTTAGTTTATGAATGGCAACACATTTTTTTAGTTCAATTTTGACTCATCAAACTAAAATGAACAAAAAGTCATCATCAATGACTCATCAAACTACCATCAGGTTATTTAACATAGCTATGGAAAATCCATTATAAATGGAGGTTTCATGGGAAAATCATCTGTGAATGGGTCATTTTCCATAGCTATGTTAAATAACCAGAGGGTAAAATAAACCAAGTCACTACGTGGGGAATTGTTCATTGCCATCACTATGGGAGGCTAGTTTGATGATGTTTGATGCTTCAATCTATTGCCATGGGGCAACATGGGGCAACATAAGCCTCGGAAAAAAAAACGCGAGGTATCTGTGATTAGCCAACATTTCTAGCATCATACCATTGGGTCGTGCAATTTTTACATAGAGAACTTGGACGCCTGGTACTTCTGAGGGAAATATCACCTATGCCATACTGGAAATACGCGGTTCTATATGGTTCTATCTTATTTTGGGGTACAATTACTACTTTACTCCGGCCAAGTCCACAATTTTCGACTCTTGAGTAACCCTATTTTTTCCGGCCGGACCGGGAATCACGGATAGGCTTGTCCATCGCCAGGCTTGCTCAAGCATGGATATTGGACCTCCTGGCTGTGGGCTACGAGTTCCCCAAGCTGATGTGCCTTGGTGGTTGGTGCTGTTGTGGACTGTGATGGGGTGAACAAATTGGGTGACTTTTCAGTATCTACCCTCTGGTTATGACTAACATAGCCATGGAAAATCACCATTTTTAATAGGTGAACCATCTATAAATGGTAATTTTCAATAGCTATGTTAAATAACCAGAGGGTAAAAGTGATTTCACGGCTTCATCCAAGAACTGGATGAAGAAAAATGATAGAAAATGGCGGAGCATGTGACCGGTTTAACGCTCCGGCACTTGATTTTCCATGGAAAAACGATGGTTTCCTGCAGGTGCAAAAGCTTGAAGAGTGAAGGCAACGTATCTTAGTGTGAAATCTCGCTTGGCATTTCACAGGACAATCCACTTTTAATCTGTTGAAATTTGTTGGATTGTCTAAGTCTTAAGTGAGTTTCCTATATTTTGTCTAAGTCTAAGTGAGTTTCCTATTTTTTTAAAAAATAGTTTCCTGCAAATTGTCTGATTCGGGAAGCCCTGCACACTTTTAATGCCGAGAGGTTCCCATAGATTGCCTTAAGCGATCCATGAAAATTCCGCTGGTCATCCTCTGGGCTGATGTGTCGCCTCTTGAAACAATTGATGTGTCGCATATTTGTTGATGTTCTTGTCTTGAAGGACAACGTTTTTTTTGAAGCCGAAGCTTGCTTGTTGGAAAAGTTTGAAAAGAGCAAATTTTCAGATGAACACCCCAATGAAATCAAAAAGGTTTATGGACACCAGATGAAACCAGCCACTTTCACTTTGGAACCAAACTAAGATGGAAAAAAAACAACATTTTTTCCTTTTTGGATGACCTTTCTCCACCAAGGCAAGGCAATGTACCGAATGTAGCCCGACATCGACGCGAACTGTGAGCCCAACGTCCTGGATTGAAGTTGCTTGCAATGTGGTGCCCCCGTTCGATAGCTAAGTTGGTGCACATAACTCTAATTTCACTAGGACTTATGGTAGATATATCTATAGTTAATGGGATTATAAACCAACTTATAACTGGGGGGGCACCACCTTGTGTGGATGATTCTATTGTTCCAATCTACAACGAGATTCTTTTCAGATATGTTACCCTCTGGTAAATTAACAGTTGGACCCTGAAAATAGGCTAGTTTTAATGGAAACTAATCTTCCAACCCCGATGGCTGCCAGGGTCTATGTTAATTTACCAGAGGGTAAGATATCTTAAGATGCTTCAGCATATGCTTCATGTTGGCCCCAACCCTGCTGTAGCACGAAAACTGCTGGAGAGAGAAATGCTGTAGTTCTCTCATTGAAGTCGCTTTGCGATAATCATTTCCCCATCTTAAGCTATCCATCAAACAATGAACAACAAAATTAACTATATGTATATCCGGTTTTAACTATTAAACTATTTCCCACTACTAACCCATAAAAAATCATGATATTCCCGTTATGCTGGTTGATAACCCTGAGGGAGAAAAAAACACCATGTCCATCTTGCTGGGGAATGTGTTTCCTGCAAAGCGGCGGAAAAAGGTAGGTGTTTTTTTGCTGCGCGGGGTGAGGAGAGGGCCTCGGAATGTGAATCCACCATTTGGGGAAGACCTATTATTTATGAATATCATTGATTATCTATGATCTATTACTTGGATTAATGTCAACCCTGGATTAATAAACCCCAAACGGCTGGTCATTTGGGGGGGGTACCATTTAAGTATTGGATTGTGACTATTGGAGGAGTACCCCCCCTAATTTTCATAAACCATGGTTTAGTCTCATCCGGGGTTGACATGATTGGGATCGTTTGTGTTGGGCTATCTTAAGCTGGTGTTTCAATCCTTCATCATTTTCCATACCATCTGCATTGTAGTTGTCCCATCCTCCCATCCTCCCAACCTCAACTACCACCAATCACAGACCCACGAAAATGACAAAGCGCATATGTAATTAGATCTTATACATTCCCCTAGGTTTCCTTAGAAGATGAACCCCAGATTTACGTCAAAAAATCCCGAAACAAATAAACACACAGATATGTGTATATAATTATATATATATGTGAATGTGTGTGAGTGTGAGTGTGTGTGTGTGTGTGTGTGTGCGCATTGTGATTTTCATGACAATTAAGTAACCCCAATCCAATATCAAAACATGGCATGTTGGATGCAGTGTTTCTTTCGCACTCAAAATCACTCAGACTTCGCAGCCGTGTCTGTTGAAAACATCAGGGATGCAGCCCATCACGCTGATCTTGGGGGATGGAATCGCCCCAAAAAGTCAGAGCTTGACCAGTTTGATAGTGATTTTTTTGTGGGTAGAATGTGGGGATATAACTCACCAACAAGGTAAGACTTTTAATCACTTCCCATTCCTGGAAAAATACCGTTGCAATGGTGGTCCCCAAATTCATGAATATGTTGCACAGGGGCTTGAACCACCAACAGAGTCGCGGGATTTTATGGATTTTGATGCCTCTACATGTGCCTAAACCGTCCATAGTTCCATATGCCTCTGGCACTTGCAGTTTTTGTCACAGCAACAAAGTCATGTCATCATGCCGGCTTCAGGATCAGCGACTTGACCTGGTGACATTTCAGGGAGTTTGAAGCCCCCAGACACAGAACATATCTGCGATTCGAAGGGGCGAACTCGATAAAAAAGCTAAGGATCCCTTCTGGACGTGCGACTATTGTCTATCTAATGTTTTTTTATGTCAATGATTTTTAAGAATAGAATGCTCTTTTTGAGAGCAAACCTCACCACACGTGGTTGCTAAAGGGTTTTGTTTGGGCAACAAGTTTCAAGCTATGACATTCTGGGCACAAAAGACACCAAATCAATTGAATCATGATCAATCACCCATTTTGGTGCTGATCAGTTTTGATATGTCAAGTTTTGGGACCCCGACAGTTGATCTTTAAAAATGGTTCCGCATATTTCGTAGGGCGGGATTTCTTATGCTTCTTGCTTTCTGAGAAGAAGACCGGGGTGTTTTAGTCTAGTTTCCAAAAGGGTCTAAGCTCTTATTCATGATGTTGAAGTGTCTGTGTTTGCTACTTAAACCATGCCGTTTTACAGATGTTACGGTTGTCATCTCCATATTTTGGCAAATCAAAAACTGCATTGTAGATAAACATTATCTACAGATTGACTGTTTATGTTCTTTTCTTTTCTTGGTTTTTATACGAACATGGTCAAAAACAGCACGGATTCTTTCCATCATCTGACAATCTGGGGTTGTCAGAATCCAAAAGCTGGGAATCATCCCT